TCGTCTTAACTGCAAATTCTCCTGGTTTTGGGCATCCTTGCTGAGTCTTTAATAAGAAAGCTTTGAAGTTTAATTACTCTCTTAGCAGTTGCAACCATTATACTTGAGATATGTACAAGGCAAGTAATAAGATTGTAAAGTAGGAGTTAACTTGAATCAGAAAGGGAAAACTTTATTCAAAAAGGGTAAGTTTTATTCATCAATAGCTTTGACAAAATTGCCTTTGGTGTCACGCACACCAAGGCCACCTTACAAATCACCCCAATCTGCCCTCCTGCTCCTTCCAGCAAATTCTATTCAATCCCTAATTACAAGAGGCAGTTGCCAATCAAGGGGGGGGAAATCAAGAAGATTCTCAACTGTCAATTCACTTTACACATGTGAAAGAAAATGTGCAGAGCAGCCACCCAGAAGACGACTGTCCACAGCATCCCAAAGGAACAGCAACATCAGCAGAGAAGGAGCCACACTGGCACAGCTCATGAGACCATGGACACAGGAAAACTGCTCTGACAAAGATATATTGCCATGTTCCCTTTTTCAGAGAAAGGGCAATGACTAACAACCCATGTGCCAGCTAACAGAGGGCACATCAGCACAAGGGAAGCATTTCCAGAATATTTTACAGGATCGCTCAGTTTATTCGACCTCCCCAACACACTGAGACACCCTGGGAGCTAAACTGCTCATGTCTGCAAAAAGAACATAAAGGAAGGCACTGGAAATGCAGATCCAACTAGAAATCTCCTTTTCTACCTTTACAGTTGTTTGCCTGGTGACACAGACACAGTTTTGGGCGATAAGGCACATAGATACAAATAATTTGTATCAATATTTGAATCAATTTTTCTTATTCTGTCTACAAAGTTCCTTTTTTCTCCTGCCATTTCCCAGCCTATTCTGGCAGCCATGTTATTTCCATATACATCACATATTCTACTGGCTCACACCAATTTATATTACAGATTAACACCTATGTATTAAACTACACACATTAAAAACAAGGGAAGGGAAAAGGCATCAAGATTCTTTAGGATCCTTTGATCCCAGCTGTCAATGTAATACAATGCCTGATGTCCACAAGAAAAGCTCAGCAATTTTATATCTGTTTTACTGGCAGATTTTTCAATTGTCAGATATAATAAGGAAACTGGAGAGTTTCCTCAATCTCAAGTTGATAGGGCACTTCTAAATTCTGTGAGACAAGACATGAGGGTAAGACACGGTTTTACCCAATTTACCCTGACTTCATAAAATTAAAATCCCCCTCTTTGCCATCCAAATACAGCATGTCTGGTCTCTCACCAGAGGAGGACACTGACAAAGTTAGAAACTGTTGTCACCTAAATATTTCTATAGAAAAAAAATCATATTCTCATTAATTGATAGCTTGACTTTTCTATTTCCAATCTTCCTTCCCATCAAGACATTACAGAGAGGTTTCCAAACTTGCTGGTCTGAGAGGCAGAATTTATTATCTCCCTGAGTCATTAATTTTAGGCTCCAATAAAAGTAGGAGGTCATTAATGATGTGATAAATTACATCCCATCCCCAAAGTTGCTAAATCAACGGGAGGGACACTCTCAAAAACATCCTGCCCAGAGACCACCAGGTTTCCAGGCTGTGCTGAGGAACCATCAGCACTCGAAATGCTCCAAGAGCTGCTTGTGCACTGTGCTGGCCGAGGCTGCAACCACCAAACCCCAGTGTTTGTGCCAAAGCCCTTACGCAGATGCGCGACTGGAACTTATAAATTACACGGAGAAACAGCTAAAGGCTCATGGAACTCCCAGGCATCTCTGCTTCCACCAGTGTGGTCAGCAGGGCTGTAATTTCTGTGAATCCAGCATCTGGGCTTCTTGGAATTTACCAGCCCTGCTGGCAAAGCAGTCACGTCTTGTAACCTCCATGCGGGCAGGAAGGAGGTTTCAGGAACTTACGAGCTCCCCGGGGCTGCGGGAGGAACTCGCAAATTGAGTCCGACAGATCCCCCGTGTGTGTGGAGCTGTGCCAAGGCCGCTCACGGAGCAACTCCCAGCCCTGCTCGGCCCAGCCCGGGGCCAGCTCCGCTCCCCGCCGGAGCCCGCACGGCCACGGCTCTGCTGGGAACGCAGCTCGTGCTCCCGGCTGTGTGCCCGGGGGGCAACGGGAACGGCACAGATCCAACCGCTGCATCCTCCGCGCGCGCCTGTGGGATGCTGGGAATGCCGTGCTCACTAAAGGAACTCCGCAGGTAGTCTGGGGGAGATACGATCTGCACCCAGCATCACAGACACCAGAGCAGCCAGAAATCACTTCCCATCCCAGCCCCAGGGCAGCTCTGGGAGGCCTGATGGAAGCTGAAGACGTCCCTAAGCACAGAGCAGTTGTTTGCTCCTCTCGTTTGAGACACCCCAAACTACCTTCTCAACTAGAATCTGCACTGAGGTGCAGCAACAGAGGGGCAACGCTGAACCCTGGGGAGCCAGGGGAGGCTAAAGGGATGGGACAGATGGGAAAAGCAAGGAAAACATACTCCTGGGTATACTGTATGGTGTGATGTGACACAAAATATCCCACATTAAGGAACAAAGGCAGCTAAACGTTCAGGAGAACAACACCTACTCCTGGATACATTGTATTGTGTGATGCGGGACAAAATCTCCCACAGGAGAGGACAGATGTAACAAATAGTATCAAATTATTATTTCAGTGTTGTTTGATGAGTAGTAGCTTCACCTGCTTGAGCCTGATCTTCTGAGCACAGCAGTCTGATAAGCTTCAAAGCCTTGGGCTGTCCTTACAGGAATGTTACATGTGCATCAGTGCAGGGGATGTGAATTAATATGATATTCTGATTCCTCACTCTAACTGGATAACTGGACTTGGTTATCCCTGGAAGTTTCCATCTAATCTCTGCCTCCAAGGGCCTACAAAATCACTAAGCACAGAGCAAGCCCTGCAGGAGCCATGGAAACAGAGGCAGCAGGTGCTCCCAGAAGGGCCCTCACCCAGCTGCATGTGCTCTGTGTGTGTGTGTGTGTTCACATGTTTTTCAGAGTGTGGACATGTGTGTCCATAGGTCTGGCCATACTTGCAGGACTTCTGCACCCAGAGAAACTCATTCTTGCCTTCTAAGCAGCATTGCTTTCATGAAGAGGAGAAGAGAGGCTGTAGGGAACACAAATAGGAGGGAGATGCACCTGATAAATGGGAATAAAGGGAAACCTGAGTCACCAACACTCCTCAGACCGTGCCTATTGCACTGACTTACCTGAGCAGAAGTTCTTCCCTCTCATTTGGGTCTTTGGAAAACTCTGCACAGCCAGTAAAGGTAAAATGGTTGCATTTGGGATTCCCAGCCTTGCCAGGCTCAGATTTTTTTCCCGAATTCATCTTACCCAACTTTAACCCAAGAGAAACAGAAGCCACACTTTGCACAGAAGTCGAAGATGCAGGAGCAGCTTCAGAAAATTCCAGATCAGGACAGAAAAGCTTAACCCTCCCCAGGCAGTCCTGCTGCTCCTAAGGTCACACAGAAAGGCACCTTTGGAGGCATTTCAGAAACTCAGCTGCTTTCCCAAATACCACAGAGGGCTGGGTAACTGCTTTGACAAGGCAACAAATGCAGCCCCACACAGGACACCACGTTTGTATGGAACAACTACCTCACTCAGATAACTCACACTTCTCTCCTTCATGCCATGTTAAAGAAGTGAACTGACTTTGAGGGAGTGGAGGGTAGTCATTACCACAGTTTAAACAAGAGGAAAATTAGTTTAATTGCATCTGTTAGTCTGTGCTGGCACTCTCCATAAAGCCATTATCTCCCTTTTTAAGGTGAGCCTGTTCAGAGGATTCACAGTTTTGGCTCATTTCATCCCTGAAGGTCCCTTTGCTCATGACCCAGAGCAGAGGACTGTGCAAACCAGAAGTGAAGAGGATTACTGTAGCACATAGGAAAGAGCTCTTTCCTCTGGCTCAGAATGACCTTGGACAAAGCCACCAGCTTCAACAGGAGGGCAAGTTCAGCTGTGAAGCTCCACCCCAGTTTCACAGACGATCCCTTATCCCAAAATAAGCAAATGCCCAAATTCAAACTCCTCTAAAACACTGAGAATTTTTGGAACAAGCTCTGGACACAAAGTCTGGGAGCTCTTCGTTGTGTGGTGTGAGCACTGTGAAGGTCAGACCTGTGTCCTGTGTCTGATATTCCTCCTGCTCCACTGCTGCCCTGCCTTGGGAACTGTCACCATCGGGTCCTTCGGGAAGCACTCGCACATTTTTGGTTTGCCTGCCCGCGAACGCCCCGCGAGCCCCGCACACAAACCCCTCGTGCCGCCACTTGGCCACCGGAGGGCAGCACTTCATCTCCGGAGCCTTTTCCTTGTCTCCAACGGGAATTCATCTCATCGCATTCCAACGCTATGGATCCACAACACATCGCTTCATCCCAAGGCTCTCATAAAAGCCTTCTCCGTGTTACAGCAAAGCACGGGGGTGCCATTTAGTTCCCCACTCTGCTGTGCATTTTTCTCTGGGAGGTGTGGAGTGTCCCTGCCTGCAGAGTGCAGGAGGAACTGTGCCGAGCTGACTTTTTCATGGAGATCCATTGAGGAAACATCTCTTTATTTAGCCAGGGTGCTGTTTGTTTCCATGGAGCACTCCCAATCCCATAGGTTTATGGCACTTTGTGCTGCCTCTAAGTCCATATGCTTTACCCAGCAACAATAGCAATCCATCTAAACCCCTGTTTGTAAAGCTCAGCGTTCTTTAATGTGCACGTTCACGTAAAACCACAAATCTAAGCTGAGCAATTTTCACCCCAAAACAACTGGCTGCTTCAGCTTTCCTTGTTTTTTTGTTCTTCTTTTCTATTTTCCTGCTATCAGCTCCCCTATCATTTGGATAAATCCCCACCAGTCAGACCACACCCTGACATCCACATTTGAATTTGAATTTGCTTGTTTGCACGCTGTCCCTGACTGCTGTCAGCCATGGGGGGCACAGGCCCACTTACCACATCCTCAGCAGCATTCCCTGGACAAGGATCTGGGAATGGCAGGCTCCACAGTCCCTTCACACACAGCCTGAAGTGCAGCCCAACTTCCATGGGGTGGTAGCCACAGATCTGCATGGACAGAAGCCAAAGCATCCATCAAATAAGCCCCACAGAGGTTTTGCCCTCCCACCTTTTCTTTTTAAAGGACTGACCAGACAACGCATCACGTTCCCACACCTCTCACCCACCTCATCTGAGAAGTTCCCCTCACTTTGGTCCCTTCTTCCTCAGACACCCAGCCAGGAGCTGCAAGGATTACTAGGGCTCCAAAGGCAGCTGTCAGCATTCTGCCACCAGAATTGAAGGACTGAATTTCCAGCCTCATCCAGGGACCTGGGCCCTGCTGTGACCCCTTCCACACCCACCTCACACCCCTGCAGGGCACCTGGTGCAAGGGAACAGGGGAATTTTTCTGGCACTGCCATATTCAATTGCTATGGGAACAACCCCCTAATAAAAACAATCTGTTGTACAAGTTCCTTTTCCTATTAGAAACCCTACAAGTCAAGCCCCACAACTAAATACTTGTACTGGAAATCTTCCAACCATGACTGGAAAAACACACTGACACGAAAGTTTATTTTATAAGACACCAGAGGGGTCACTTCCAGATTAGGCCAGATTGAATTCTCCTCACATTTTGTGAAACTCCTCAGGACATTTGTTGTGGCATTCCACAGTCCTCCAGGCAAAAAAAAAAAAGAAAAAAAAAAAAAGGAAAACATACTGTATAGAGGTTGCAGATGCAAGAGTTGAACACTTCTTTTTAGAAAATACCAACCTACAATAACAAATAATTTTGCTATTCACAAGAGAATCATTGAGTATTGCAAAACTTGATAATTACTGATTCATGACAGATTTAGGAAAAACATCAGCTTAAGTAATCAGGTCAGGGCACTGCTGTTGACCACAGTGCTGGCAAAAGAAACAGTTTCTGTCTTCATATCTTTCATCAAAGTTTAACATTTCACAGTATTTAGCTTTTAGCACTTCATTGGTCCAGAGCAGTAAACAACTGATAGCTCGAGAAGGAGAAGTTAAATTGTGAGCAAACATCTCTGGTTAGTATTATCTTGTAATTCACTCACACCGGTCACATACTCGTAAATCCAACTCAGTAAAATCTGAGGAGCCCTGAGAGCTCTAATTTATGGCTGCTGCTAATAAATTCACCAGATGATTAATCCCTTACACAGCCTGGCACCAAAGGTATGCTCTGTCACATTTTGCCAACCGGGAATAAAGATTTCATTCAGACCTCAAGGTGGACAAAAAAACAGACCCCCTTTTTTTGGGGGGGAGGGAAATGTCTGTGATCTTCATTTCCTCCTGGAAAAGCCAAGAGTTTTCCTCTAATAAAGATTACTGCAAACAAATCCATTCCACCCTCTTCCATGCCTCCACGATATTCTTTGCCTGACAGTGGGAACTCATTCTGGAAAGGCAGCAGTGCAGTGAAAGGAGGTCTCCTGACTCCAAATGAAGTATTGTAGTAGCTCCTCTTTCCCTTCCCAAGATGCACACTAAACAAACCAAAACCTTAAAAGGGAGAAACTGCAAATCCACTCCCGGTAAAGATTTGTTTTGCTGTGGAGAAAATGTGTCCTTACCTCTTCTCCTAATGATGCTAAATCTGACTTACACAACACAGGGGGGTTTAGAGCTTTAAACCCATTTTAAACACCACAACTTGCTACTTCAGGCCTTCCTCACAGACACATGTCCTGCACTGCACAAGGCTCTCACTAAATAATGACAGCCCTGGTGCAGATGAAGGTTAATGGAATGAAGAATCTGGAGCCATTCAATCCAAAGAAATGCCACAGACATAAGCTGTGATTTTCTACAGGGAAGTATTTTTTATCCACGTTATGTGAGTGTTAACTCTGAATCGTTGTTAGCTCTAAAGGAGCGTTGTAAAAACCCTCAACCCTCTACCTTCAGAGAAACAAAACCATACCTCCTCTCTTCTCTTTTTGTTTTTGGCTAATCTCCTTTTGAATCCACATAAAGAAGAGGACTGAAGGAAAGCACAGGAAAAACATGGAAAGGCCCTTTTTAACAACTGTAGTGCCACAGTCTTGAGGCCAAAGCCACCTCCATTGTCTTCGTGCCCTCCCCTTTAAAGCAGCATTTACCAGCGACTACCAGAGCTGTCCCCAAAAGCCACATGCACAGTTACCCACAAAAATGGAACAGGCTCCCAACCCACTGCAGTTGGACCACACAGGTTTGGATGCATCTCCAGTGCAAGGCAGAGAAAGAATCTGACCCTTAGTCCTAAAGCAGCAGGTGCCAAAAAGGCTCTTTGACAATCACACAATCAAACAAGCCATTCCAGCAGACTTCATCCATCCATCCTCAGCAGGACATGTTTCCATGTGCCCACAGCTTCCTCCCAGATACCAGTCAGGAGCTCCAGCAACAGTCAGGGAGTTGTATATTAAAGGCCTTCCTGAAAGATTTACAAATTCCAAGTACCTGGAAGTATCTGAGACAGAAAATTAATAACTCAGCCACAATTTGCTGACAAAATGTTGAATCAAGGGCTCTCCTTTGATTTAAACACAGACAAGCTCAATCAATCCTGCTTTTCCTGCTCCACGTTTTCTAGCAGAGGTTGAATTTTTATGGTAAAAGCTCAAGTAAGGGATCTACACCTGAAAAATGAAGGATGAATGCGAGCAGAAAAGACCAAGCCCTAAAGCTCTGACACATTCTAATTATTGCTGCCAGAAGTGAAAATTTCTACAACCCCGGTTTAAAGCGCTGTCAAACATCACAGCGAGAAAGGAGAATAAAGGAGCTGGAAACCCAAAACCTTTTCTACATAAAACAAGATAAAAGGCCACAACTGAGGAGTCTGGAAGTAAGTGGTGGTAAGACACCGAGTAGGACCCAGGTGAACACACTCCCCTCCTTCGCACTGATGCAACTTTTCCTGCCAGTCTCCTTCTCTTCGCTGCTCCTTTATAAAGCACGGGAAGACACGAGGGCAGAGCAGGGCTCCAGCTGGGTCTGCACAACGTGCCCAGTGCTCTTCCCAAAGCATGTCCCTCTCCTGTGCTCCAGCTGGTACCTGGCAGCCCCGGGAGCTGCAGGAGCCTTGGAGCAGGAGCAATCCCTCGGGGGTGTGTGGCTCTGCAGCCCCCAGAGAGGCACAGTTTAATATCTTAATCTCCACAACTGTATTTACGACCTGCAGCTGCGGTGCCAAAGAGGCCCCCGGCCCCTCACACACTGGGACTATTGTTGGCAGAACAGAGCTCGGGGCTCTCTGCAGTGACACACTGAGCTGGGATGGAGACAGGAATTGGTTTTGCCTTCTATCCATCAGGTTATTTTGGGCCTTTATCACTTCTGAAGTACAACAGCCCTTAAAGCAAGGTAATGGGTGAATGAGCAGGATTGAATCTGTCAGAGCTCGGGGCTTCCAGGGACCAAGAACTTGAGCTGATTAATTACAAAAAAGGAATCCCCTTTAAATCCCCTTTAAATTACACGTAATTTAAAATGAATATATATGGTAAGTGATGTGTTAGTCTGTGGCACAAATGAAATGTTTGGTGCTGTTCTGCAGCCACTTCAAAGGGATAGGACACCTCAGTGACTGGGAGATGGGGGGTTCCTGCTGTCTCACTCCCAGAGCTGAGCTTTTCCCTCACGTGGTTAAACTCCTGCAGAGCACATTTTGGGAGCATACAGGGTTAGGGGCTTTTCTGTGCCAGCTTTCAGTGGTATCATCTTCCAGCTTTTTCCAGAATTCTGATGCCTTCCAACCACATGCATCTCCAGAGAGGGGTGAGAGGATAACCCCTTGAGAGAGGAAAATCCCCACTGGCATTTTTCTTGTGCTTTCTGTATGACAGCTTATAGACAAGCACTAAGTAAGTTTAATATTCCAGGGAATTCAAACGCCCTGACACACATCCTGTACTGTTAACATGCAGAGACTGAGCAGAGAAGTTGTGTCCCTGGACAATAATTAACTGGTTAAGTGGGCAGGTTGTTTGCCAAGTTCACCCCCACACAACATAAATAAGAAATGCTCCTGCTTTTCTGGTATTAATAACTTTGTTCTCAAAAGGGAAAGAAAAGAACAGCAAACTCCAAGAGTTCAGAAGATGCTTATGGAACCAAATTATTGTTTAATATACCCAGGGATGCTGATGTTCATGAATTTTAAAAAGCAGAACACTCACTAGCAAGAGCTCTGTCCCACAAATGTGTTCCTCTCTAAGGTCCTTTCAGTGCAGCATTTCCAAGAGGTCTCAGCTTTGTGCTGAAGGATCACAACCCTGTCACACTCTGTGCTGGGCCCACGAGGCTCTGCAGAAAGCAGTGGCTTAAAGGTTTCAGACATCCTGCTTGGAAGTGCTTAGCACTTCCCAAAAATCAGGAATCCTCCACATCCTCTTAAGAAAGGTTAAATTACCCCAGCTAATTCCAAAAATCTAAATACAAGGCTGGAAAACTGCAAAACATCAAAAACAGGAGATATTAAGAGCTTGGGTTACAGTTCTGGGAAAAAGGTCTAAAGAGTTCTCATTTTAACCAGATTAGTTGAAACTTGGTACAGCATCAGACTTCGACTCCTGTACAGCACCAACATTGGTTTTCCTAAAAAAAAAAAGGAGCAGGAATGACAACTCCAGTGGTACAAAAGCCACATACCTACCCTGATGTTTTCTGGTTGGAGTTTCTCTTATCTAGCATGAGAAAAAGAAAAAAAAAAAAGAAAAGAAAGAAAATCACTGGTAGAGAATGGAAAAGAGCTGCTGCACAGTACAAAAAGGTGGGAAAAGGCAGAAATACAAGCAGAAGACAGGAAGAGTGTTCAAACTCCAGATATGATTGCTCAGCAAAATAAAATCCTCACAGCAGTAGCAGTGCAACTGAAGTCAAGGCCCAGATTTGCCCTGTTTGAAATTCCTACCACACTAAGTGGTCTTTACCTGGATGGTTACTCCATAAAACCAGATATTCTGGGGGTTGTGAGTAGCCTTGTGTTCAGCTGGGCCTCAAAATTATGCCCTTGAAAACACCGAGAAAGCACTTTCAAACCACACTCTTGATTTTTCAAAGGGAAGCCTGAAATCAGCATCACACATAAGGATCAACAGGAGGGGTTTGCAGTCCTGAAAAACCCTTACTCCCGAGAGCAAGTACTCCTGGAAAAGACTTACACACACGAGGGGTGATGAACCTCACGTGGAGAGTGAAAGGGGCTCATCCTTCCCACACACATCCTCACTTCATGGGTTGTTTTCAGCCACATCAGAGAACCCCTCACACTTCCAAAGCCTTTCCATTCCCAATTTATTATGGCTGTACAACTGCACCAATGAAAAAGAAGGATAAACTCCGGGAGACACCTTTCTCAGGGTCACCACCTCATGTGGGCATCGAGCTTTCTGCTGGAGCTCACGGGAACACACAGAACACGGGATCACACGGCCACAAACTGCAGCAGGAAAGCAAACTGCACATCTGACAGACTGTATGCAAACCACAGCAACAGTCAAAATAAAAAATGGCAACTATGTTATACTTTAATATCCTCAGAGCATTGTCAGACGGTTAAAAGTGAAATCACGGGTTAGCCCAACAGCCAAAGGCCTCAGCACAACAAAACTCGTGCAAGATCTCCCATACAGGAGACACCTTCAGCAAAACAAAGGCTGAAATTCTACTACCAGGTTTACTAACCCTACTCTCATGCTTTCTCCTCAACAGTTTTCTCTAATTCTGTGTTTGCACCATCTGTCACCTCTGAACTCTACTGCAATGCAAAGCAGTAAACAAGGAATAACAATAAATATATGATTAATTTGCTTAAGCAGAAGGGGAGAATTTGCTCTCTGTCCCTTGCTACTGACATTTTGGTCCTGAATAACATTTTGTAATTTCAACACCTGTGATAAGAAACTGATATGGTGAGTTTTTACCTCTCACTGTCAGCTTTCTGTGAAAAGTGAGAGCAATTTGCTCCCACGGTTCTTCTCTCAAATTAAGTTTACAGTGAAGTAACACCTCATGCCACATTCAACATGCTCACAATGCCTCCCTTGAAGAGAAATAAACTTGTAAAATCTTACCTCAAGCAAAAGTTTAACATTTGTCATATTTAATCAGCAACAAAGTCAGACATCTAATTCTTCACAATCTATCCTTCACCGACACTATGTCATTTCCAAGCTGAACCATGGAAAAAATTCTGACATTTGCAGGCAGCGTGGCAGAAAGGCAGCCTGCCATGTTATCACAGTAATTTATGTTCTAAAATTCCTGCGAGTCCAATGTGAAAATAACATCTCCACCATCCCAGCCCTCAGTTTAGACAACTCCAGTGTTACTGGAGATGACATGCCCCGGACCAGAAATCATCTTAAATCGACACCAACGGTCCCCGGAGCTGACAAACACAAGTCGCTCAAACCCGCCGCGTGCTTCGTTTTCTGTCCTGGTGAGCAATGTTTGAAACAGGAAAAGGGGGTCAGATCTGGGAGTAGAAGAGATTAAACTGCAATTTTGTTTTCCTCATTTTCGGGCTTGCCTCTAGTATCAATCTCAGCCTGCTCTAAATTACGTCCAGCTGTCTGTTGCCCCCAGGGACAATTCTAGCAGCCAGAATTAGTTGGGAGTGCAGTGACATTTTAACCACACACAGTTTTCCCTCAGCCTACCTATCCCTGGGTTTTTGAGGACAATGGGGGGTGGCAACACATCCTGCCAGGAAGAAAAAATGGGAACGTTTAGGTCATAAACACATTCGAGTTAAAGAATTTATGAAAACTGTGGGGTTTTAAGAAAGCAAAGACTGAGATGTGACAGAGAGTTCACCGGAGCAGTAGGGAATAGAGCACACCACTTGCAGAAGGAGCCAAACCCATGTTAAAAAAAGGCAAAATTAGGGCCCAGCCTTACAGGGCTGTTTCAAATGTCAGTGCCCGCTGCAAGGGTTGGCCTCAGCCATGCCACGATGGATGGCCATGGAAGGATGGATGGTCTGGCCATGGAAGGATGGATGGTCTGGCCACGCCATCTTCCTCAGACATCTGAGAGATGTAAATAAGCTGTTCTCCTGCTGAGCAGCTCTTCACATACCTCACGCTCCCAGCAGCACTTCCAAGGGTCTGCATTCCGCCATCCTACGGCAGGCAAACCTCCAGCTGCCTCAGTGGGACACATCTGAACTACCAAACCAGGAACCCAGTCGGTCTCCCACCTCCATTTAAAGGGCTGAGAACCATCCCTGGCAGGACAGGGCATTCCATCAAAGGTAAAACACTGTCTGAAGGCAAGTGAAGAGGATCCCTCCTCAGACACTGCTCATACATCCTCCAAAATGAGCTTTCTGCTGTTCTCTGCTTTGCTCTTTCCAGACTGAAAACAAACAACTGTCCTGTGACACAGTGTTTCCCTGGCTGGTAGATTAAGATTAAACTGTTAAATATTTTTACTTAATTCACAATCCAACAAGTTAAATTCTGTTCTCTTTGTGTGGCAGATATGACAATGCATTCAAAACTCACTAAGTGGTGCTGCCAGCAGTTAAAAGCATTATTATGCATTCCTTAGACTATTAGAAATGCCTGTACTGTTTTCTATAAGCAAGAAACAGTTAAGTTTCAAAATATATATATCATCATCATATATATGCACACATCACAAATATGAATCCAATTTACACAAGCAGAAGTGAATAACTTAGAGCCAATCTACCACTTCGAAGCTGTATTTCTAAATAATGACACAGAGGCTTTAAGGGGATCATTTTGGAGCAGGAGGAGACATATCAAAAGAGAATTTATTAAATATGTTGCCATATGAAAGTACATGCAAAATGACCTAAAACGTAGTCAACCTAAATTTTCTCTACTATACCACATTGTTGCTACTGTACTTTAATTACCAGTGAGGTGTGTGGACTGTAAGTACATTTTTAGGAGTCCCACTTACCTGTAAAACTGCAATGAGAGAGGGAAAATCCTGTCTTCTCTCATAACTACCTAAAAAATAGAAAATAGGCAACATATATCTAAAAGTATTCTGAAATACCAGCTTGGTTCATTCTAAAACAGGTAAGACAGTCAACTATTGGATTCAGAGACAAAATTAATGAGCACTGTGTGGCCATCCATAATGGAACCAATGTTTTCTGTAAGATCAACTATAATTTAATGCTAAGAATTGAAGGGATTGGATAGGAAAGGTATTCTCTAGGCCAGCAGTGTCAGAGGTCTGCAGCCTGATGAGACATTTTTTCCAGGAGATTTCAAGTTCTCCAGGCCCTTCAAGGTCAACATTAAGGAGGTAAAGACATTTTTTAAAACTAGAGACCTCATGTTGGACTAGGGGAACAGAGTAGAGCTGCACTGACCATACCACAGGGTCCCCAGAATAAAAGTTGGGGAATTAAATAAAGATCCAGCTAATCCCTCTGTAGAAAGAGTTTCCGGACAGCTTCTCCTCACCAAAACCCACTAAAGCTTCTAAATCCCAAAAGTTCACCCTTGTCCTCTATTCTTTCCAGGAACTTGCCCACTGGGTAGGGAAATAACAGCATTTAATACACAAAAAAGGTTTTTAGAAGAGCTGATTGCTGGACTTGGGTGATGTCTGTGGAACAGTCATTCCCGTGTGAAGGACTCCTCGTGACTTTTATTTACGGAATATAAAACGTGCATGAAAATACTTCAGTCTTGCTGTTTTAAACTTCCAGGGGAGGTTTTGATTAAATATTAGGGAACTTCTATCCACATAAAGGGTTGTAAAGCATTAGGAACAAGCTGCCCAGGGCAGTAATGGAGTCACCATCCCTGGATGCGTCCAAGAACAGGTGGCTGTGGCATCTGAGGATGAGAATACTGGAAATAGGTTCTGCTTGCAACCAAGTGGCAGGGTATGAGATTTAAAGGCCTTTTCTAAGGATTTTTTCTTTTTAATGTGCTCGTTTTCAGCCTTTGGTTTACACAACGCACGTCATGGAAGGAGCGACAATTACCTCGGCCTGGGCTGCGGAAAAAACCCGCATTTTCACGCCTGATTACAGCGCCAATGGCGAACTTCACGAGCTTAAAAGTTTTGGGGTGGGTTTTTTTTTTTTTCCCCCAAAACGGTTTTGGGACTCACGAGAGCGCCCCAAAAACGACAGACGTCCCGGGGAGACACCCCCGAGTCCCTCCACGGGTGGGCTCCCCCCCTCACGGCTTCCCGCGCCCCGCCCCGCCCCGCCGCGCGCTCCCCTCACGGCCCCAACATGGCGGCGGGGCCGCACCTGCCCCGCTCGCGGCCGCCCCGCCCCGCCCGGCCGCGGCCCCGCGGGGCCGGCAGGGGGCGTGCGGGGCTCCGGCGGGACAGCGCCGCTTCTATTTAGCGCAGGGCCGGCGCCGGGGCACGCACCGACCCTCGGGGGCCGCCGACACCGCACCGGCACAGCACCGGCACAGCACGGCACGGCGAGCGGCCGCCGGCGCTGTGAGGAGAAGGACGAGCGGCTGCTGGCACCGCGCCGGGGGCAAAGGACAGCGAGCGGCCGCCGGCATCGCGCCGGCACCAGCACCGCGGGAAGGACAGCGAGCGGCCGCCGGCCCCGCACCGGCACCGCACGGGCAGCGGCGAGAGGAGAGCGAGCGGCGCCGGCCCCGCAGCGGAGCCCGCGCACACAGCAGCGACCGCCGCCCGCCCGGCCCCGCCGCAGGTACGAGCGGGTCCGGCAGAGCCCGGCAGGTGCCCGGCGTGTCCCGTCCCCCCGCGTTGCTTTGACCGAAAAATCGCTTTTCCGTCCCAAAGCAGTGCCGCTGCCCGCGCCTCGCCCGGCGCTGCTCCCGCTTCGGTGCGGCGGCAAGCGCCGGGGTGTTTTAGAACTCCGTGGACCGGTTATTTCCGCCCCCCCCTCTCCCGGCTGGATTAAAACCCCCGGGCTGGGAAGGGCGGCCGAGCCTCCCCGTGTCCTGGCGGGAGCGCCCGGCCGCCTGTCCCAGGTAGGGGCTGGGTGGGCGCCCCGCTCCCAGCCCGCTCCCAGCCCGCTCCCAGGGGTGCCGCTGCCTCCCCCGGCGATGGAGACCGCCGAGAGCACTCCCGTTTGATTTGTGTTTCCTCTCTTTCAAGGTTCACGATGTTGACAGCTATGTTCTTGGCTGCTCTCGTTCTCATTACAGTACACTCGCAGGAAGCCGAGGAAACCATAACGTACACGGTAAGGTTTAATAGAGTCGGAACTAATTACTGCTTTTGCGGGGATTCTTTTCTAAATGACCCTTAGGAAAAAGCGAATTTCTTGCCAGCGTATAAGCGTGTGCTGCAGAGGTCGTGGAGTTCGGATGTTAACCATAAAATAAGCCGTTCCTGCCCTGAAACACCGTTTAAAAGTTGACAGGATCGAGCAACATAGGCTTCGACTGCCTGCTCCGAAAAGTTTAGCTATGTATTCAGCTTGAGGGACTGGACAAAATTAGGAGGTTTTAATATTGTTTTAATCCATTTTCATAAAGACAGGGTCCCTAGGACCTTCACTTGAAATATATGGAATTTGACAGATAATTAGGTCGAACATTCTTTAGTGTTTTCTTAAGGTTATTTCAAGCTGCTTTTAACAAAATGTAAGTGCTTCCAAATTCGGGGCTCTTAATGAAGCCTCTGAGTCCTACAGTGATCACGGGACTGTTCATTTCTGAGCACTGGTTTTGCATGGCTGGATAAAATCGTACAGGAGTGCTGGAAATAGGTCCTGCTTGCAACCAAGTGCCAGGGTAAGAGATTTAAAGGCGTTTTTTAAGGTTTTTTTCTTTTAAATGTGCTCGTGTTCAGCCTTTGGCTTGCATAATGCATGTCATGGAAGGAGTGACAATTGCATCGGCTTGGGCTGGGGAAAAAGCCCGCATTTTCACATCTGATTACAGCTGTAATCCCTGCAACTTGCTTCATATGGGTGGACCTCTGGATGTGTGCACAGACATCAGCAATGCCACACAAGCAGAAAATTCTGCACACATGCAAAAAGTTAGAGAACCACAGCCAAAGCCTGAGATTGGGACTTACACAAGTAATCCCACTGAAGTCAGTGGGATGGCTCCAGCAAGTAAATATTGCAGAGTTGGACCTTCTGGTAGAAGTCAGGGCTTAAAGAAGCCTCAAGTGAGCATCAGGAAGTCAGTCATAAAATACTTTAACACCGGGCTTTAGGAGCATTAGGGGTTTGAAGGCTGGGAGTACTTTTATTCAGAGGCTTCTGTGATTTACTTTTTTTTCAAGTCCCTATGTGTAAGTGGAAACTGAAGATCTAAGTATCTTTTGAAAATCCAGACTAAACAGGGAACCCCCTCCTCCTCCTTTCCTCCATTTATTACACGTTCCTTTTTAAAAATAAAGTAGTGGTTTTTGATAAGCCTACATAATTCTGATTATGCCAATTGAAAGTTTGTAGCACAGCTGTGTAACTTGGGTACCTATGCTTCATTTTCAAAGAGTTCTTAGCATTTAGGTGCTTCCATGATCATTTGACTCCAGCCATGCAAGATGAAACAAAAAGCTTAGCTTTGGGAGCTTTGACTCTTGGGATGCTACTGTTTCTCATGCAAACATTGTATTCACTTAGGGCCAAATCCTTTGCTATTGTACAAGTGCCTTGGGCTGCAGTAATAGATGGACTTGGCTCCTTGCAGTTAAACACACAGTACTTCTGTTGTGCATTAACAGGAACGGGGTGATTCAGTAAATGCATGAATTAGCTGTTTTCCCTCGGGTCTGCGTTTTCATAGCTACAGTAACTTTGGTGTTGTCAACTCAGCATGCAGTCATTCCTTTAGGGAATGTCCACTTACCCCTCTGGGAGAAAGAGCCTTCAAAGTTCCAGCTCGCTGCCAAGTCGCTGGTGTCACCTGCAAGGCAAGAGAACATTTTCAGTCCCACTGCTGAGTCAGTAACGAGTTCCTCAAAATAACTTGAGGAGAGTACGTGGAACACGTGCATCTTGGCATCAGGAGGTCAAGTTTGTCACTTGCAAGTCCCTGAGCAGCAGAGGAGTAGCAACAAGATCGAGCTTGCTTGGCTGTGACTAATTCCATTAGCCGACTCAATTCTTTTGTTGTATGGGGCCATTAAACCAATATCCTGAGCAGCACAGGATGCACCCACACAGCACAGCCCCGTTGATTCACTGAGAGTTTCATATTTTAAATGTTTCTGCTGCAGTTGGTAGCACCGGGATACTTTGCTACTCAGTGTCTGCAACTGCAATCTGTGATTAAAATGACTTTGCTCCAGACAATGTAATGGTTTTGGGCAGAGGGATAATGAAGATGCAGGGCAGAATATTTAAAATTGTTGCTGAACTTGCTAGTCTGCATTGATATGAGGAGCTGCTGAGCCTTGCCTTGTTTGAATTTTGCAAACTCTTGTATAAATAAGTAGCCCTGCTGCTATAAACTCTAACGGTTTATTGTGTGTCTCACAATATAAATTGTCCTTCCTCGACGGCAGTCCCTGGAGTCATGTGATTAAAAAGCATGTGAATGAATTCCCAGCCGTCATGGGAGCCCTCCCCATTGCTGGAGTGCTAATGGGAGAGAGGATGAAGGCCAGGGGCACAGAGTCCCCCCAGGCCCTGGGAATGAATCATGTTCACCTGTGGGAAGGCTGTGTGAACAAGACCAAAATTCAGACAAACTTGCTGTTTTGTTCCTGAGAAGATTTTCGTACTGGTCAGCTGAGTCAAGCCAAAGGACAGATGCTTTAAGACAGTGTATGAGAACAGGGCAAGGAGAAAGTGATGCTTTTGTCACTTTGTTCTCCAGCCCCAATAAAACCAGCTTACTCACAACAAACAATACCTCGGGAACTTCCCGAGACAGAGCCTCTCTCTCTGTACATTACAGAATATTCCAAGCTGGAAGAGACCCAGACCTGTTGTTCATGCAAAACCCAGTGCTGTACCCATAGCTATCACCAACAGCCATTTTTCCAGCCTACCAAGGTGTGCAAACATTGCTTTTCCCTCAGTGTCAGACTGTGAGCTCACTGAATACACTTGATTATTCCTCCAAAACGAAGAACCCCGAGCAGGCTAATTTCTTTGTTTCTTTTCTCTTTCTCTGCAGCAATGCACGGATGGCTACGAGTGGGATCCCGTTAGGCAACGGTGCAAAGGTACAGTGACTCATTCTCGCAGACAGACTCGCCACCGGTACAGTTTCAGCACTGTCGTTGCACCCCCTGTTTCGGGCAGGGAGGGCTGTGTGCACATCTGGTTGTTTTGTTTGTATTGTGGCTGTTGCAGGAGGTCCGCCTGTTAAAAGCATGCCTTGTGTTGTTGCTAACCACAGATATTGATGAATGTGAAATAGTCCCAGATGCATGTAAAGGTGGGATGAAATGTGTTAACCACTATGGAGGATACCTCTGTCTACCCAGAACGGCCCAAATTATTGTAAATGAGCGGGAAGAGGCAGCGGCCGAATCCACCAGCGGTCGGAACAACGTGATCCGCCGGACCCCGGCCGACCCCCAGCGAGCCCCCCCAAACCCAACCCACCAAATCCAGTGCGCGGCTGGGTACGAGCAGAGCGACCACAACGTGTGCCAAGGTAAGGCTCGGTTTTGGAATGGTCAGAGTGTGGGGGACAGCAGTGCACTGCCTGGGCGGTGACAGCCTGGAATCTCCCGTTGACTGGAAGGGGTTGTTCTCCATTGAACTGGACGTGTGTGCACACTGGAGATACGTAAAATAAATCACAGGCATGGCGTTGAGCAAGGAACAGACCGTGCAGCTCGGTGCAGCCTTACAGTCTGTTCCATCTATTCAGGATTAATTCTGTTGTCTGTAGCTCCTAAAAAAAGAAAAAACCCTCAAGGCAACCCTAGTCCAGCATTTTGTGTTGTACTAAGTATGTCGAGGAGAGGCAGTGCTGTGAAAAAAGCGGGCAAGACAGCAAGTCAGAAACAGTTCCTAAAGGTTTGCAGAACTCTGTGTTTTTCAATAAGTGAATGCTGAATGGGACAAAAAATAACCACTGGGTGAGCTTCTGCTTAGAGCAGATTGCAGTGCAGGAGGGTCCAGTGCTTTCATCCTGGAGCAGGAATATTTCTCCAGTGGTAGGAACCAAACATCTGAACAGCTTTGTGCTCTTGTGATCCCTGTGGAAGTAGCTCTAGGCAGACCCTGCCAGGTTGCTTCTAGTCATAGCCTGGCCACTCTTTGAAACTATGGCAATGAAGAGCTTTCATCTGAGTGTACATACACCACACACAGTGCCAAAAATTCTCAGGGCATTAGCAATGTTAATTGTATGCATTCAGCAACCAGACTCACAAGCACTACTGTAAACTAAGACTCTTTCATTTATTATTTCATATAAATAGTTTACTCTTCTACTTGCTGAAGTAACAAATGTTTCGTCCACTGTTTTGTTTTCTTTCATAAAAATATATTCTACTCCTTGGTCCCAAACTTGCTTTTCAAGCACATTAGTGGGATACCCCTGAAAACAGAGGGCAAAACTTGACCTCATGGTTCATCTTTTCCACTTTGTGGCCTGTAACAGTATAATCACATAAAATAGTACTTGAGTGACTATAATCAGGGCAAGCTGTAATGTACAGTGGTAGTTTCCTTCTCCCTGGTATTCGTGTACACAGAACGTTATTTATCACTAGTAAGTAAATTCCCTGTCATTCTGGAGCACAGTAATCATCATGGAGAAGTTATTTTTGTAGGCAAAGCCTCAGAGTTGCATTTCTGGCTTATCTGCTCACGTTCAACGTTTTCTGTCACCCCAATTCAAGAATGTCAGGCACAGAACAAGCAGGAGGTCAGTGCTGTGATCCCCTCAACCCTGGGCATTCACTTGGGATTATGAAGAGAAAATCAGTGCTAAGGGTGGAAAATTACTTTTTTTTTTTTTTTCCTGAGTTTAACTTGGCAAAGCAGGGGCAGAACCAGGAGCAGAACTGGGTTGGTCTGGCACTCCCTCCTTCAGGTGATGCTCCTGGCACTCCTCTTCCCTGGTGAATCACAATAAACTGCTTCAGCTTTAGCACAAAACGTTTTGGTCTGATTAAAAAAATGCGAGAAATGCTAGAAAACTTCCAGACGTGACCATCCCTTTTGCTGCCCTGGCTTTAGGGGTGTAAATTTGGGATAGAGTAGGGAACACTAACAGCATGTTAAATACCTCGTATTCCAAATAAAGCTTGGGAGTACGAGACCAACAACTGGTTGAGGTTTCTGTTTTGGTGAGGAGAAGATTGGTGGTGACGCATTACTATTACTTTACTGAAACTTGCAACTAAATATTTCTACTCAATTCACAATCTCTGGTTAATTTATAACAAGTAACTGTTGTTACAGCACCAGAACATTGTAACCCAAGCACACAAACTGTGCTGAAATCTTGGGCTTGACTGAATCAAGAGTTTTGGCTTCTCATTTCCTCATGCCAGGATTTCAATCTAAATGCAGAAAGCATGGAAATATTAGTGCTTAAAAGCTGAAATGTATTGTACTGAATGAATTCCAGCTGGAAAAGGGGCAGTGGACAGTGTGCTTGAAAGAAAGGATAAAAGACTTTTGGAGCACTTAAAGCCTGCATTCAACTTCATGATCTTCGTGCTTTTTCACTGCTGAAAATATCTTATAAAAGATAATCTTGATCAGCAATGGTCCCAGTGCGGATTTATTTAATTATGGTTAAAAGACTTTGCTATGATAACTGCCCCAGGCTCCCAGGGAGTGTAACTTACAGATACAGTCACACTTCAGCTTGTTTTATTGTTTAGTAAATCAAATATGAAGTCCAGCTCCTTCTAATTGTTTGCAGATGTATGACATTCTCCTTCCAGTCCAGCAGCACTAAGTATTTTATAACCCATGTGAAAGTGTGGAGACCTCTGGTTAAAACAATAACACGCTCTGAGGAGCTGAATTACTGACATCATGCTGGAGTGTGAGGGGCCTTCTGTTTGAACACCAGTGTCCACTCCCTTTAAACACGGAATAGTGGGGGTAGCACAGGCCAAACACACTCCTGGGCTTGCAGGAAATAGATATAAGTGTACTGGTCCTGTTTCTGAAGTGCTGAGATAGAGCATTTTTATACCTACTAGTGTTTGGAAACATGTGGATGTTAAAGGTGTAGGTAGTAAAAATTTCCTGGGAAATTCTGAAGTGAGTGCCAGGAGCCCCCAGAACGATGCAAAGCTGAGGGGAGGTTATTCTGGAGGGAGATCTCTTATGCAGGAACTGTACAGAGCCTCAAGTGCTGTGGTTCAACTTCAACACTTGTACTTGGCCTTAAATTCTGAGTTTATGACCTTAACTAATCCCCCTGTCCCCATCCTGGGATAACCAGATCCCACTTCACTGCCACTCCTAGATTTGGCCACCAAGGCAGATTCCCAGCTGTGGCACAGGAAGGCATTGGGATACCCAGACCTATTTACAAGGGGGAATGGGTTTAAATTGAAAGAGAGTAGGTTTAAATTGGGTATTAGGAAGGAATCCTTCCCTGTGAGGGTGGGGAGGCTCTGCCACAGGTTGCCCAGAGAAGCTGTGGCTGCCCCAGCCCTGGAAGTGTCCACTGTGAGAGTATCACAGTAACTGGGAGGAGCAAAAAACGGAGTGAGAAACAATTTTAAGCAAATAACTGAGTTGACTCACACTCACAGACACCTTTTGCCTGATAAAAACCATAAATAGCTGCACTCAGTGCCTCATACAAGACTGAGTTGTTTTTTACTGTGATTTGAGTCTGCTCCTGTTGCAGTCAAAGGCAAATCAACCAATTAATTCAATTTTGTCAAGCCTAGCCTGCAAGAACATACTGGCTTTTCCTAGAATGTTAATGACACTGGAATGAAAAAAAGGGACCAAACAAAGGTACCAAATAACCTGTAAACTTGAGAGGGGGAAAGAACTTCTTTTTCTTGCCTTGCTCGCATGCTGGCAATACAAGCAATAAAGTAAGCAGGTTTTCTGCTCCTCAGCTAAATGAGCTTCTGATATTTCTCCAGTCTGTTTATCACCCTTTGTGCTACTGCAAATGTAAAGGACAGGAGGGAGGCAGATTGTAATACAAGAGATCAATACTTTCTCATATGGCAGAGATATTTTTTTCCAAGGAGTTCTGCCTAGATTTGGTGGATGTTGGTTGTTTTTTTCCTTCTCTGTGGGGGGAGGAAAGAAATGAATTTGTTTTCTGTGCTGTGGTTACTTTTCCCCTGCAAAATCATTTCAGGGCTCCCTTCATCGTAGGGCTCAGGGATTTTTTTGTTAAGTTTTCTGGTTCTTTTCAAAGTAACTTACCATACTCAAGCTATGCTTTTAATTCCAGAAGTTAATTAAGTGTGAATAAATCAAATAAGCCTACATTTTGCATCTCTAGAGTCCTTTGTTCTGTTAAGGAGGGAGGGACAAGGAGGAGCAGTTCACGATGTCCTTTTTCATACAGAAATCACTTTATATTAAATATATATATATATATATGTGAGGGATGTGCAAAAGACATAAGAGGTGGGTGAGTGCAGGTGCCCTTGCCTGGCCCTGGCTGTGCCTCTGGCAGCTCTTCCCTGGCATCTTGGCTGGGGCACAGAAGGCCGCTCTGCAGTGCAGCTCCTAATGAGCTCCACTTGCCCTGCTTTGATTTCCCTCCCTGAGGGCTCCTGGAACGTTTGCAGGTCCAGCTCGGAGGGAACCAAACCTGGAATGCACGGCAGGAGGGCCACTAATGTGCCACAAGCACTAACGAGCATTCCAGTGTTCAGGGCTGAACTCCAGGGAGCCCAGAGCCCCTCAGAAGGGCATAGACTGGGAGTTTGGAGCCTCTGCACCAAGTTCTGATCTGCTCCTATGAGTTAGAGCTATTTGCTAACACAGAACCTAAAATACAGCTATAATAACTCCTTAGGCCGAGCCCAGGATCGTGTCTGAGAGCTTTTTGTAACATATTGCATCACCCCAAGTTTTCCCCGTTCTTGTATGTAAGGAGTACTTAAAAAATGCCTCAGGACTAGTTTGGAAAGAGCCTGAGGTGTGACAAGTTCAGTTCCAGGGTTGTTCCTCTCTGGGCAAGACTATTTACAAGGACACGTAGGACAAGGGGGAATGGGTTTAAATTGAAAGAGACTAGGTTTAGATGGGATATTAGGAAGGAATCCTTCCCTGTGAGGGTGGGGAGGCCCTGGCACAGGTTGCCTGGAGAAGCTGTGGCTGCCCCTGTATCCCTGGAAGTGTCCAAGGCCGGGCTGGATGGGGCTTGTAGCAACCTGGGATTGTGGAAGGTGTCCCTGCCCATGGCAGGGGGTGGGACTGGATGGGCTTTAAGGTCCTTCCAACCCAAACCATTCTGTGATTCTCTGAAGAGCACTAGACCTGTTTGGTTGGAGGACAGGGTGAGGAGAGAGGCTGTGATAGGAAAAATAAGGCCTCGTTATGTGGTTCAGGGTGCCATCAGTTCATCCAAGTGCCAGCTCAGTTCATATGTCCCTGTTTGCTGCAGAACTTCAGCAAGTGGGGAGCACTTGTTGCCAGCAGGAGCCACCT